CCAATCAGTGCATTTCCTGGTTAAGATTTCATAATTTTCAAGGAATGTATCAGCCACACTATGTGGACCACACAAAGAAAATTCTTTATTTAGATGGGCTACAATAACAGAAACTTGCCAACTATGATTGTGTTGCAGTGCTGAAGCTTAGTACTGGCTCCCCATAGGGCTGTGTGCTCAGTCCCTACCTATATTCACTGTACACACATGATTGTGTATCGTCTGATCCATTCACTGTGATCATTAAGTTCGCAGATGATACCACCGTATTGGGTCGTATTACAGGTGGAGTTGAAACCGCGTACAGGGGGGAGGTTCAAAAACTATTGACATGGTGCTTAAAAAACAACCTGCACCTGAACATCAGCAAGACAAAGGAGATGGGGTTAGACTTCCGGAAGAAGAGAGAGGAACCTGCCCCACTTTCCATCGAGGGGGGCTGTGTGGAGAGAGTTTCCTCCTTTAAATTGCTGGGAGTCTATCTCAGCGAAGATCTCACCTGGAAAATCAATACGACCCAGGTGGCCAGAAAGGCCCAACAGAGACTCCACTTCCTTAGGGGCTTGCGAAATAATAAAGTGGAACAACAACTGATGACCTCCTTTTACCGGTCCACAAATGAAAGCATCCTCACTCATTGCATTATGGTGTGGTATGCTGGCTTGACAGCCGCGGATAGAAAGACATTACAGAGGGTGGTGAGCACAGCACAAAACATCTCATGGGCTGTCCCCTGACACCACTAGACGACATTGCTAGGGCTTGCTGCCTTGGAAGAATGAAGAAAATCCTCAGAGATGACTCACACCCTGGTCAGCCCTTCTTTATTCTCCTATCAACTGGAAGAAGATATAGAAGCATAGGCAGCTGCACAAACAGGCTGAAGAACAGTTTTTATCTGTGGGTTGTCAGACTCCTGAATGAAAAATAACTACAACAATATAGTACGATTGACTTGCAGGCGCGACATGCAATAAGTTCACATGGTGCAATAGGACTGTTTGTTAGTAGGATTCAATGGGCTAGAGATCTTTTTTTCTTTCACTGTGGGTTGTATTGTGTTAGGGGGGTGCATGAAGGGAGGCTCAGCCAATCTCATTGTATACATGTTGTACTCTGACAGTAAAGATTTGAATGGAATTGTATCACCTCCTCCTTCTTAAAATTCAATGAATTAGGGAGTATCCACCAACAATGCCTAGACAACTGAGTCTGTATATCTCTAAAGGTCATCTTCCTTACTCTCTACAGAATTTAATAAGTGGATTCAAGTAATCAAATACGGTACTTTCACATTCTTGCTCCTTATCGTTAGCTATAATTATTGCTCTTTAAAGCTTCTTTGTTCTGATACTCCGTGGAAAAGGTGTCAAGTGATCCATGCACAATCAGTGAAAAACGGATCTACAATTTGAAAGTCATGCTCAAAGAAGAAAATAGGAAAGGGGAGGGAAAAGGGATACCATCTATTCTATACGATTGTATAATAATCGTGTTCCATATGACGGGTGGTTTTGATGGTCATTGAACAGTTGCAAGCTTTCAAACTCAAAAAAAAAAAATAATCCAGGACCAACTGGTTTGGGATCCCTTACGTTAGATAAGAAGCTTTTAGTCCACAAAGCTAAAGAGAATTTGTTTCAACACATTCCAAAACAAACAAACAAACAAAAAATCCAGGAAACAACCATTCCTTTACTTTGTCTTCCTAGCAGTTTTAAAAGAAGATCCTTGTTGCAGCTTCGCGTCTCTCAGAACCAGTTAAGATCCCCATATGCACATCTGGGGGCTCTCCATCATGTCCCCTGAGATATAACCTGGTATACCACTCTCTCTTCCACTCCTCCTATTTTGTCTGAGGAAAAGGTCTTGAACACTCGGAGGAAAGCTTACGTCTATTGTGTAAAATGTTAATACCGATTTGGATATTATTATTTTTTTGCCTCCATAGAGCAGGGGTCTCCAGACCTTGGCAACTTTAAGCCTGGAGGACTTCAACTCCCAGAATTCCCCAGCCAGCAATGCTGGCTGGGGAATTCTGGGAGTTGAAGTCCTCCAGTCTTCAAGTTGCCAAGATTGGAGACCCCTGCCATAGAGCACTTGCTATTTCTCACCCCTTTTTCGATAGCCCTGCCTCTGGATTAGCCCCGCCTCTCACAGCACGCGCACACACACATATCCTCCCAGTCCCGGTGTTCGAAGAGGGTCGCGCGCTCAACTGCCAAGCCGTCTCACCCGCTCCCAGAGCTGCTGGGCGAAGGTGCGCGCGCTGGGCTCGGTCATCCGCAGCGTCTCGGTCTCCTCCAAGCGATCGAGCAAGTCCTCCGGAGTCCGGCTCCGCTGGGCCAGGCCCACCATGAAAGCAACGACATGGCGCTCGCTCAGCCCCAGAAGGGTATGGAGCTGGTTCGAGACCCAGCGCTCCAAGTCTCCCGCCATTGCAGCGGGATGCTGAACCCGCCACCCAAATCTCGTTGTTTTCCCCCTTACCCCCCCCCCGCCTTTTCGACCTGCGTGATAGTATTTCCTGGCTCGTGCTGCTGGGAGCCAATCAGCAAGCTCAGAAAGGCGAACGTTTCGTCATCTTAAAGCGACGGGGTTTTTTTTTAAAGTAGGATTACGTACATTGCTCTCGAGTTTGTCGGTCTCTATAATGGAACTATGGGAGTGGAAGTCCAGTAGCCCAGGGAGGCTTCCAATTAAAACTATATAAACCAGGGGTCCCCAAACTTGGCAGCTTTAAGACTTGTGGACTTCAACTCCCAGAATTCTCCAGCCAGCATAGCATAGCTAGAGAATTCTGGGAGTTGAAGTCCACAAGTCTTAAAGCTGCCAGGTTTGAATACCTCTGATCTAAACAGTGTTTCCTAACCCTCCTCGGGCTGCAATTCCCATCATCCCCAATCAGTGTGACAAATGGTCAAGGATGATAGGTTGCTACATTACATAACCTAGCAACACAAAAGTTTGAACAGGTTATGGCAGTTTCTCATAGCTATGGAATCTGCAGCTTATTCTGCTCTTCCACATTTTTAGAGAGAGAGAGAGTATGTGTGAGTGAGTGAGTGAACCGGTGCTCTATTTCTAGCATTATATGCCAAAACTCATTATCTGATGAAGAAAGATAGAGCCTTGGTGGTGCAGTGGACTAAAGTAGCACTTAGCTGCCAGCTGCCTGCAATTACTGCGAGTTCAAATCTCACCAGGCTCAAGGTTGACTCGGCCTTCCATCCTTTCGAGGTAAGTAAAATGAGGACCCGGATTGTGGGGGCAATAAACTGACTGTATAAAAAAGAACACCGCTTGGGGGGGCCAAAAGCCCTACTAAGCAGGTATATATAAAAATATGAAGGCTATTGCTTAATGCATTGTAAGCCGCCCTGAGTCTCTGGAGAAGGGCGGCATATAAATCAATCAATCAATCAAACAAACAAACAAACAAATAAATAAATTCCTTTAGAAATAGGGAAATCCTAAGCAACTCCATTCAAGAGCAGGTGTTTTGAAATAAGGGATTTTGCTTGGTGAATGCGGTACCTCTACCAGCTTTACACATTTTCTGTGTTTTAGACTGCAGTGCATGGAGAATGCAGAAGAGCCAATTCATTTAAACCATTGGTTGTCACAATCTTTCAGTGCTGTACTACTTGCTCTTTAATCTCCCCTTCTTTATTTTAGAACTTCATTTGTGTTCCCTCAGACTGGATCGCCCTAAAATCAGGATTATTATTTTTTTTTGCCCCTGAGGAGCACCTAATCCACATGTTAGATGTCAAGAACAAGTTTCAATCCTTCCCTGATTAGGTATAATAAAAATAAGGGAGAGGTATAGCAAGATCCTTTGTTGTATGCTTTATTTGTTGCGGTAGCCTAGAGCAAACCATTCTTATTCTAACATAAGGGTTATTTATTTGATTATACCAGGGTTGAGGGATAGAGGAACCTGTCATGTGAATTATTTTGGTTGTGAAGAGGGGAATAGTCCAGAGGTGGTATTCTCCACTTCTGGAGAACCAGTAGTAGAAATTTTGTAGTAGTTGTTCGGAGAACCGGTAAATACCACCTCTGACTGGCCCCATCCACATCTATTCTCTGGCTCCCGAGTCCTAGCTGATCGGGAGGGAATGGGGATTTTGCAGTAACCTTCCCCTGTAGTAGGAAGGAATGGAGATTTTACAGTATCCTTTCCCCTGCCATGCCCAAGCCATGCCACGCCCACCAAGCCAAGTAGTAAAAAAATTTAAATCCCACCACTGGAACAGTCACGGTACATGCAGTTATGTCTACCCCTAGGCAACCAAGCTTCATGGGTTGCCAGTTTGCTTCTGCGTTCAGTTCAAGGTGTTGGTTTTAACACTCAGAGCCCTGTATGGAATGGGGCCAGGTTATTTGAGAGACCACCTCTCCCTGGTTACATCTACTTATCCCAGCAAGTCCAGCAGGAAAGTAATGTTATGGGTAACATATGCTAAGGACTTTTATCTGATGGCACCTGCCCTCTGGAACATCATTCCCCCTAATGAGAAATTAGCCCCAACTCTATTAATCTTCCAGATGTCTCTTAAAATGTTTTTCCCCCCATAGTCTTGGGGATCCCATAGAAACAGGGAGCCTGCAAGATGGTTACATTGAATATAGATATTGATCCATTTTCCCTGTCTTATTTATATGTATGTTTTATGGTTTTAATGGTTGTTTAGACTTTTTAACTCTTTGTTTCATTATACACTGCCCAGGGTCACATTTATGAGATGAACGGCTATATAAATTCATTAAATAAATAAAGGTAAGAATTTAATGTTTTGCTGGAGCACACCAAAGTCTAGCTGGTCCAGCATTTTATTTCCAACAGTGCATAGGATATAACAGATATATGTGACCAGCAGACCGCGAAGGAACATCTTATTGTCATTTCTTTTAAGTACTGTATTCAAGATGGCTATTTTAAGGAAAAGATCTATGTAACTGTCATGATGAGTAGAGGAATAAAGACCACTAGATTATCGTGCAACATCATTCTGGTTTATTGTTAATAATAATAATTACATGTAACAAAAAAACACTGATGGAAATGGCTGGACACAGCTTCTTCAGCCCTCATATAACATACATTGATCTTTGCAGACCCCATCACACACCTGTCAAAGAAAAATATGTCTGCAGTATTCAGTCACTCTCTCACTTATTCATGGGCTTTTATGTTTGGCTGTCCCGGCAGTGCAAAATAAAAGGAGAAATGATAATTAAAAAGGGTGCACAGATAGATAAATTAATAATGAAGGGAGAGAGAAGATATGTAATTTTCTCTTCTGCACCTTCCATTCAAACTTTTACTTCTTCGCTCAACAATTTTTGTTCCTAAAGCCTCACCTTTCTCCTCCCATACATTCATCAACTTTCTCTCAATCTGCATTCTTGTTCCATTGATGAGTTGTGCCATTCTTTGAGTAATTTAATCGAGCAAGTCAACCAAGCTTCACAGTTGGGGAAGAGAAAATTCCTGTTCAGCAATTTAGAAAAAGTTTCAATTTTATTTGGACACTTCCATCTTAAGGTCAGACTTTCAGCCAGGAGGACAAAGGAATTATACTTTTGGTTCCAGAATGTGGAATTGTGAACTATTATAGCCCTGAGACAGGACCTGAGTTGTGAAATGGGGTAGGGTGGAGGGCTTGGAGGGCCTCTCTGGCCCTCGGCTTCCCTGAGTCAACCCACCTCATTTTTTTATTATCGGCACTACAAAAGATTTGCCCCCTTTCTCACTGCCCAAGGTGGAAGGTCATCCTGAGAGACCCAAAAGCTATAGCTCCTTCTTCTTCTCTTCAAAAATGAACACGTCTTTATCAAGGTGTGCAAGCTGAGCGGTAGTGCTCAGATGTTCAGGTGGTGCATAGAAGTCGCCAGGTAAACATCTTCAAACAAATGTACCGTGGCTTTGCTTTCCTTAACCTTAATTAAGTTAAGAATTTGTCCTAGTTAAAAATACTATGCAGTGCAGAATGGCAATTACAGGTAGTCCTCAACTTACAACCATGATACAGAGAGCAAAATTCATCATTAAGCAATGAGGTTGTTAAGTGAATCATCCATGGCTATTAAGCAAGATATTGTGTGACCGTGACTTGCAACCTCCTGCTGGCTTTTCCATTGATTTTTTGCTTGTTAGAATCTGGATGAGAAGGTCACAAATGGCAGCCACCTGACTGAAAAATTGTTATGTGTGAGCTGGTTGAAAAGTGCCTGGCTCACAATCACATGACCGTGGGAACACTGCAACGGTCTTAAGCATGAGGACCAGCCGTAAGTCCCTTTTTTCAGCACCATCATAACTTTGAATGGTTGCTAAACAGATGGTCATTAAACGAGGACTACCTGTACCTATCAAAATGGCTGGTAGAATAATAATATTACTAGTATTATTGCTAGTAGTAATAATACTTTTTTGGCCAAATAATCCAAATAATCATCTGGGGTGAGTGGAGGGGAAAAGGTCAATTTGGCAGCCACAATTGTCCAACTGAAGAAGCAGTCCTTCGAGTGTGTTGTTGTAGACACCATCCAGACCTTTTGTACCCTCCCCTGTGGCCACCCCTGAAAGCATCGCTTCATTTTTTTTTAAAACCATTCATGGCTCTGTTCACTTCACTTCATGCCCACCCATCTAAGACCATATGAGTTGTGAATTCTAAACATGAAATGGATGTGACTAAAACCAGAAGCGGTACTTTTCTCCTGATTCTGCTTTGTTTGTCCATTCCATCCCTGCCCCCCTGCCTCCCCCACCCCCTTGTTCCACAAGACCACCCCAGCCTGAAGTCAAAGAGAGAGAAAACACAAAATGCCACCACAAAGAACAACGGTCTCTGCCCCCCGTGCAGAGATAACCTTTCCCTAATTGCTCAATTCCATGCCTTACTAAGTGCTCTTGTTTTAAAACACAGAGAGGCCCGTCCCCGTTGCCCAGTTACATGCCATATTACTCACACCTAGAGTCATGCTATGTTGAATTGACTTTCTCTTCAATGGCCCCCCTCCCACTCCCCGAATACTGATAAGCAGTGTGTGTAACCTTCCCTGGTCTCCCCCCCGAAGTATGGTGCTTTGCTTTGTTTTCCTTTAAACATCATAACAAGACAAGATACTTTATCAAAAAAAAAAAAAAGCAGAAAAACAACAACAACAACAACAACCAGACAAAGTCACATCAATGTCCCTCAGCCCAGAGCTGAAGCTTTCAAATGCTGTGTGGTTGATGGTAAGGAGTAAAATAGGTCAATGATGTTAGCCCTTGGTGTTTGAAGGTTCGATGGTCTTTCCTCAGGGAAAGTTTTAAAACATGTCCACAGGCTCCTCACTGACAGATAGGAGCGGCAGGAAAAGCACTGGTTGAGATTCCCATCTAGACTGGACTGCATTTTGCACAATTTGGAGCCATCTACATGTTTGATACTTGTTCCTAAGCGAAGAGGTTCTGTTTTCAGGGTCAACGCAAAGAGAAGAGCCATATCAAGGGTGAAGATGCAGCGTAACTCCTGAAGGAAGAAACATACAGCCTTAAAGCTGTAGAAAAAGGCTGATAGGTCTTTATTGGTCCCTGTTTCTTTTTCCTTGGTATGTCAGTCATTGGAAGACAAAAAGAGATTCAAGGTCCAGCCGAAGGATTTTGGAACACGGCTTCAATCTTGAAATGGATTCTACCTTTTCCTACACCGGGAAAGAAAGACGATAAGCTATCGCCGACAGGACTCATCTAGAAAAAGAAAAAGAAAGAATACCGGCATAGTTAGCAAACGAGGAAAACAACAACTCCTGAGTTTGCATTCCTGATTTTTGCACTTGTTAAAAAGGCCTTTAGGTGGCACTTCAGTATTATCTCTAAGGCTCCTGTTTATTTCTATTCTTCCAGCTATAGCATTTCTGATTTTACATGTATCTTCTCTATTTATAGTGGTACAGAGGTTTGTTGTTGTTGTTTTTGGAGTGGGGGTAGATCTGGATGAAAATTAGGGTTTTATCTGATCTCAATTACAAATACTTGTAGTCTGATGATTTTTTTTTTTAAACTTTGCTCTCCTTTTGTTGCTATTGCTGGATATAGTTTTGGTAATTAGAATCATCTGATATTCAGGGATAATCTTTCTTCAGGGTTGTCGAAAGCTCTGTCTATCATGGAAATAGATCATATTATTCCTGAACCAAATCTTTCAATTCAGCTCAGTGAATGTGCTCTTTTGATCAACAGAGGTTGATATTTGTGAGCCTTTCCAGCTTGAAAGTTCCCACTGTATGAGGATAAGCAGGGATTTTTTAACCTAGGGAAGCTTTCAAGCACTACATACAACATCTGCTACTGCAAGACGAACAACAGATGTGTAAAGGTAAAGGTTCCCCTCGTACATTTGTCCTAGTCGTTCCTGACTCTAGGGGGTGGTGCTCATCTCTGTTTCAAAGCCAAAGAGCCAGCGCTGTCCGAAGACGTCTCCATGATCATGTGGCCGGCATGACTAAACACCAAAGGCGCACGGAACACTGTTACCTTCCCACCAAAGATGGTCCCTCTTTTTCTACTTGCATTTTTTACGTGCTTTCAAACTGCTAGATTGGCAGAAGCTGGGACAAGTAACGGGAGCTCACCCCGTTATGCAGCACTAGGGATTTGAACCGCTGAATTGCCGACCTTTTGATTGACAAGTTCAGGGTCTTAGCCACTGCGCCACCACGTCCCATTTGACAGATGTGTAAAAACTCCTTAATCTCTATATGATGGCAGTTGTCTACCTTTCTTCTCTTTCCAATCAACATAACAGGTTGTCAGCCCATTTTAGCCCAACTTGCAAGTTACAATTGAAAACCCAGAAAAAGAGACAGGATCTGTGTCAAGGGTGATTGTGGAAAGTGGATTTGCGATCCACTCTAATCCAAGCATTTCCAGGGTGTTGCCAGATACCCACCTACAATAAGTGGTTTGCTCCTGAGCAGGCCAGGGAGGCCACGATGAAGCAGCAGCAACTCCTCTTCTTCTTCTTCCTCATCACCAAGGGGGTTTGTGCTAATCAAAGACTCTGACTCTTCTGGGGGCCCGAACTCCTCCAGTAGGGAACTCTCTGATGGGTATTGGAATGTCCTCTCCAGCTGATTCTCACTGAATGAAATCTTAAGCTGCAGGTGGGGAGAGAAAGAGGAAGAGATGGATGGATGATGGATGGTTGGATGGATGGAAAATACCACAAATCCATACTTGCAGACACCCCATTGACTTCTGGCTATGCAAGATTATACCCTTGGCCTGTCTCAAACTAGATTTGCCTTCCCTTTGAGATACCGTACAAATGTGATGGACTTCATCCCCTTAATCCCCAGAGAACAGAGTACATTATGGAGTTGAAGAATTCACATTTGTAGAACATCAGTTGGAAAGCCTTCACTAGATTAACAGTAAAATCTTGTACATGCATACTCAAAAATAAGGTCTATTAATTTAATGGGGTTTACTCTGTGTCAGGTAAAGTAAATATAGGATGAGAATATATACAGGCAGGGTCGTTTTATTCCCACAGGCTCATCCTATGTGTTGTATTCATATGGCAGGGGCAATTTCTAGCCTGCAGGAACTCTTCATTCTTGAAGGAAAATCCTGGTAGAGAATTGCCAATCAAAACTTGATGCAAAGAACATACTGGTCGGATTATAGAACCATAAACCCATGGTTTTATATGGAGCACCAGAAATTCCCAGATATCAACACAATAAACCCTTTCTATTTATCCCTAATCTTCTCCATTTTCAATAGTATAATTTTGGACGGTGATGGTGAACCTTTTCAACACAGAGTGCCCAAACTGGAACGCGTGCACAAGCCGGAGCGCCGGAATCCCGAATACCAGCTGGCCAGTGCTCATGCATGCACTGGAAACCAGAAGAGCAGCTGGCGATGGTGTGCATGCCCAAAGAGAGGGCTCTGTGCCTCGGAGACGCGTGCCATAGGTTCGTCATCCCGGATATAGGAGATCAGGGCAAATGATCAATATTCACCACTTTGATACATTATCCTAGAAAACAATTTGAAGAGGCACGCTATGCTAAATCTTCATACAGTAGATCTGGCCCTTTAAAATGCTTAGATGGAAGAAGCCTTAGAGAAGGTTGACCCTGCCCCACATATGCTGCCTTGAGCTCCCCAAGGAAAGATGGAATGTAAATTACATCATAATTACCATATCATACATCAGGTGGCTTGGGGAGCCAATGGGGGAGCTTTGTACTGGAGGTGGTTGATTAATCAAAATTCAACCATACCTATCCCCCCCACCAGCCCGCCCTCCATGTGTCTGGCTCACTTCTTAACCATCTTGTGTCAATGACTTTATCTGTTGATGTTTTTATCTGCTGTGCTTTTATGATGGTTTTAATGTTTTTCAATGTTTTTTTTTTCTATGTTGTAAGCTGTCCAGAATCATTGGCTAAATCAGGAATCCCCAACCCGCGAACTCCGACCCACTATCGGGCCTTGGCCTGTTCAGAATTGAGCTGCGTGAGTGGCTAGCTGGAGCACTCATTGCAGTTTAATTTGCATGAATGGCAGACTGGCAGGCTCGCATGCGTGCATGTGGGCCCGCCACTTGGGCAACGGCTGTGTGCACAAGTGCTGCCCCCCAGATGTGTACAGTTCCCTTCCCCCCCCCAGCCGGGCCACCAAGCCACAAAGGTTGGGGGTCACTGAGATAAATAAACAAATAAACAAATACATAAATTGTAAGTAAATGAAATGCTATTGATACATATCTGCTTCTACCTTAAGTCTCTCTACTTAACAGGGATGGTCTTTAAAGTTTCTTGTAACTGTTTCAGCAAATCATAATTTGATCCTTTACTTTTTGAAGGGAGGTTATTGTATACTTCGAGTGAGACTCCAGGGGTTAAATCTCTTAGGAGGCGAAAGATGCCTTATAAGAAAACAAAGGCTTAATGAGTTTGAGTTGCACTTATGGTACGGTAGCTACATTTAGAGCCATAGGAGAAATTACACATTAAGGGTCCAGGATGGGATCATGGGAGTAGGAGTACAGAGCATCTGGAAAGCCCAGTAAGATTAAAGGAAAGTGTGTAATTGAGTGTGTGTGGCCTCTGGAGAACTAAATTAAGGGAAAGGAAGCAGGCAAGACATCAAATTATGTCTGCCTTGCAACAAAACCCTCTTATCAAAAATGGAGAATATTTGTAGCTCAGGGTTGAAATGAGGGGTCCTTGGTGCTCTCTGAGCTTCCTTGTTTTCTTGCAGATGTTTCATTACCCAAATTAGGTAGTATCATAAGTGCTAGCCCTGATGATGTTACCTAGTAACAAAACATCTGCAAGAAAACAACCAAACTCGGAGAACACCAAGGACCCCCTCAAAACTCTCTTACGTCCTGCTTCTTGAGCTCTTCTCATCCTGAAAAGATTTAGTGTAGTTTGCTTGGGTTTAAACTGCAGAAATATTAATATTTTTTTTAAAAAAAAGTTGAAGGACTTCAAGCAAAAGGGGCTGCAGTGTCCTGGGATATGTAAATATAAAGGTTGCAAACACTTTAGCCAGTAAACCTTTCTTCCTTGGCTTCCTAGGATGTGTCCTCATCATCCCAGGTCACACTACAACTATTTTCCAGCCGATACAGAGTACAAAGTAGAGCAGGTGATAAACTTTCAGAAAATAATATTAAATTGCCCCATAGGCACTCCTCTGGCAAGAGGGTATCTCTTGTGTGAGAGAAGACGTTATGCATTTTGCCATCTTTGGAGATTTTTAAGAAGAGACTGAAGGCTACCTCTCAGGGATGGTTTGATTTATTTTCACGTCCTTTGCACAGAATTACACTAGATGATCCTTGGGGTTTCTTTCATTCATCACCTTTTCCAATTCTATGACTTTAGAATCATGTGTGCTTTTTATCATCCACTAGTAGAGGAGATCAACCCTGACTGCTCTTTAGAAGGCCAGCTTATGAATCAGGGCAAGAAGGTAGATTGGTGGGCGTATGCCCAAATACAATCGAGAGTCAGAAAGGAGGGAATTTATAGGTCAGTACAGGAGCTAGATAAAATCTTATTGGGAATTGAAAAGAAATTACTTTCAAGGTGCTACCAGTTTTTAGTATCACGATGGATTGGTGAGGAGGTGATTAAGGACACCATGATTGCCTGGGGGAGGAATCTCGGATTTCCCCCAAATCTGGATAAATGGGATGCAATATGGAATAGAAATATGAAACTTACTTTGTTAACCCCCTACAAGGAAAACATTTATAAAATGGTCTATTGTTGGCATATCCCCCCGGCAAGAATAGCAAGAATGTTTCTGAGAGCCTCCCCGGCATGTTGGAAGTGCGGGAATGGTAGCGGGACATACTATCACCAATGGTGGATGTGTCCCAAAGCAGGCAAATATTGGTCCAAGATTCGGAATTGGATAGTGGAAATTACAGGATATAATATAGAGCTGAAACCAGAGACTTTTTTATTGGGAATGAAACCAGATAAAATATCTAAGGAAAAATGATACTTGATCCTCCACATTATTACAGCAGCTAGGATATTATACGCGCAAGAATGGAAAAATGAATTAATACCCACAGAGAATAAATTGATTTGGAAAATTACAGAATGTGCAGAGGCAGATCGGTTAACGAAATTACTTAGGAACCAAAAAGATTCTGATTATCATGAATGTTGGAATTTATGGTATATTTGGGTGAAAAAAAAGGGAGGGAAACGAAACGGATTTTATTGGTGGTATAGGCGCATATTTGTATACGTTAGTTGCAATAATTTTGTATGTATATATGTAAAGCATTGTTTTAAAAAATGGGAATAAACTTTATTTTAAAAAAAAAATAGAAGGCCAGATCCTGAAGATGAAACTCAAATACTTTGCCACCTAATGAGAAGGAAGGACTCACTGGAGAAGAGCCTAATGCTGGTAAAGATTGAGGGCAAAAGAAGAAGGGGACGACAGAGAATGAGGTGGCTGGATGGAGTCACTGAATCAGTCAGCGTGAGCTTAAATGGACTCCAGAGGATGGTAGAGGACAGGAAGGCCTGGAGGAACGTTGTCCATGGGGTCACAATGGGTCGGACACAACTTCGCAACTAACAACAACAGCAAACCTTAAAAAAGCAATGCTTAGCAATGAAAATTTTTGTCCTAATTGTGGTCATAAGCTGAGGACTACCTGTATGCATTCCATATTTTAATACTGTATTCCAGTATTATGAAACCAAACAAACAGGGTTTTCACACTGTGATCCATGGACACTGCTGTCTGAATAGATGCTACATTTTGAATATCTGGCAAGCCATCCAGAGGCAGCATTCCGCTAAACCATGATTTGCATCCTAGAGCCACTACTTGTGACCTTCCCAACTGGCTTCTGACAAGCAAAGTCAATGGGATAGGTTGGATAAAGAAATAGTCAAGATGAGCAGGTAGGTTGTCTTAACTGATCTCAAGTCAGCCCCCTCCCCCGGATGATCCCCATTTGGGATACACATCAATATGTGTACAGTAGCATGTGCTACATAGGAAAAACACCAGAAAAAAACACCAGCAAGAGCCAGTTTGGTGCAATGGTTAAGGGGCTGGCTAGAAACCAGAGCTGAGTTTCTAGTTGAGAACTAGACTGAGTTCTAGTTCTGTTTTAGGCATGAAAGCCAGCTCTGTGACCTTGGGTCAGTCTCGATCTTTCAACCCAACCCACCTCACAGGATTGTTGTTATGGGAAAACTAGGAAGAGGAAAGTGTATTAGGCAAATACGTCACCTTGGGTTATTTATAAAAATAATAAAGGAGGTAGAAAACATCAAATACATGAGTACAAACACAAAGTTAGCCTATCTAGGGAGCTTACAATGTTAAGTAAATGCATAGTGGGAAAGGGGAGAGAGATCCGAGTGGCAAATTGACAGTTACACCTTTAAATTCTGGGCCAGCTGCCTTCTGCTGCGTCAGTCAATTGGTCCATCTAGCTAGCTCCATCTTGTAGACCTGTTCTTGAAGTTTCCACAGAGTTTCCCAGCTGCTTCTGAAGATTCAGCTTCTCTTTAAAGCTTTCTGGCTGAATCTCAAGAGACACAGCTTAATGGGTGCGCTCCGTAATAAGCATGCAACGGATTGCAGAATTGA